TTTAACGTCTTCATTCTTTACAATTTAGTTATATTATGTATAGGGCTAGTTACAGATTTGTATATCCTGATTCGACGTATTAGAAATATTTGGATTGCCGAAGAACTATGTACAAAGGTTATTTGACGTGCTGAACACGAAGGTGAAGTTAGTTTTTATTGAATCGGTTGGGATCTTGGAAAGGTTTTCCAGAAAATCCTGAAAAACCTCGACGCACAATTTTTTTGGAACTTTTAAATTCACCATTGGATAGAGCATTCAAAATAAGGTACTCAGGCCATATTTCACATTGGTTCTAATCTGCTATCCAAGCTTTTGGAAGCTCAGATATTCGTAGATCCTAGAGAAAAGCAGGGTTTTGAATGATAATTCTAAGTTTTATAGCTGAAAATGGTCTGAAGGAACTTTTCTTGCTCATATTAGAAAAGGCCACATTGTTTTACTAATTATGAACATTTTTTTAAGAGGTTAGAGTAACGATTAAAGGAGGTATAATGCCAAAAAATTTGTGTATATAGTCAAATGAGTATCTGTAAATGGGCTGAGTTTTTATTTAATGAAAAGCTCTGAACACTTGATATGTTGATATTCGTAATCAGCACACTTGATTATACCAATAAATATGTATTTCATCAGAATCAAAAATAAAAAGTTTTTCAGAGATTCCTGTGGGGAACTACAAGCCCCAAAAACCTTTTGGTGAGCTATACAAAAAAAGACCTGTGGAATATCATCAGGAACCATGTCTTACTTCAAATCGATAAAAAGAAGTTAATTTCGTTGGGGGTAAAAAAATGGCCTTATCCGCCCTCGTCCTTTTTGAAAATTATATAAATAATGAAGAAATCGTATGAAATTTCAATATAACTATTTCAGTCAATCTAACTCTACCATTTTGAACAGATTATAAAATCGAAAATCATGCAGAGACTTAACATATATCACACATAATTAGTTACTCACTGGTAAACTTCTCTACGAATGAAATGTTTCAATTGATTCCAAGATCGAAGTCAACACTAATAGTGTACTGCCGTAGCTAAAGAACTAGTATTATTTAGTTTAAGTAACGGGTGGCCCACCTATAATGGCATAATTTATATTTCGTGTTTTTCTCAGCTAGCTTTCATTGTATAGACTTGTGTCTAGTCTCAAAAGATTCTTCTTTTAATTATCTACAAAATTACATCAGAACATTTAATATAAGCTACTCATTTACAAAAGTGACCAAATAATACTACCTCGCTGCAATGTGCAAGAGTTTCTCACATGAAAAATAGTTGTTGGGATCTTATTCATTGGAACTCTGACCCTTCAAATAAACTTATTAGCCATCTTGTAGTACGCAAAATGGCTCTATCTTTCAGCACTGTTCAAAACAATTTTTCGCATCAATGCTCCTTGCTCACGAAAAGAATTTTTTTTTCGAGAATTTACAAAATCATGGTTTTAAATCAGCAATTTTGGGACATTTAAAAGCTGTGGTAAAAATCTATTAAAACTCAATCCTTCGAGTTTTGTATTATTATAGTTTGAATATGAATGGTACGTTACATTGAACGCTCATTATGAGAATATAATTGGGGTTTTGGATAAAATTAGCAAAATAAGCCTAATATTGACTGCTTTCAACTCAGTTTCAAGAAGCTAGCCACTGCACTGTAATGCTTAGTTGAACTAACTTTCCCTGTATATCACGAGAAAGAGTTCAGTTCATTTCACTAAAAAAACATTCTTACAAACGTTTATGTATGTCTAATGATTGGAAAAAATCCAAGCTTTTTCAAAACAAAAAAACACGCTAGAAAATTGTATATGTTGTAGAAGTTCAATATTATTCGGTCACTCTTTTAAATTGGACGTTTAGATTAAATGTTCTAATCTAGTGCTATAGAGAATTTAAAGGCGAATCTTTCGAGACTAGGCACATAATTTTACAATGAAAGTTGATCGAGAAAAACACGAAATATAAATTGTGCCATTATTTATGCTCCACCTATTAATTCATTCATTTTATTATAATCGATTGGTTTGATCCTATAAACAATTATTAATGACCTGTTTTTTATCTAACTATTTCATCCGTTTTAATGTAATCGTTTGAATCGATTAAATAATCCAATTAATGACAAAATTTTATGAGTACCTCTCACAATTCTTTTATTTTTCTTACAATGAATACCTGTATGGAATATAAATTGAAAGATGTAACAATAAACAAATATTTCTAATGTTAACGTCAATGGATTAGTCTATTGAGAAATTCTCGAGAATTAAGAATTTCTTCTAATCAATCATCAACCTCTTTTAGACTTAGTTCAATCAATGTAATCATACACGATGTTAGCGTCACACTGAATAAAAATACCATTCTAAAGAAAGTCTTATTCGTAACCATTTTTTTTAGTGTAAATTTAATAACAAAGAGCAGACAAATGTTTTTAAGTTACCTTTTGTATCTGCTGTATTTTATTTGGTCTAATACCATAGCCAGAGAGGTCAGAAAAATTGTCTCTTTCTTCTTTCTGTGTCGTTATTAGATTTAGTCAAGCTTATTTACATCTGATTATCTGATTATCTCATTTATGTTAATGAGAAATATAGGTTATCAATACTTCTCTTTCGGACATATCTCTATTTACGTTCTTCTTTTTACATTCGTCAATTCAACGGATAGATCTACAATGAAATATAACAAAGATAAAATAAAACATGTGAAATTACGACAGAGCATTTTGAGTACATCGCGTTTCAAAGAGAAATGTAACCAAAAATGAGAAGAGATATTGACTCGCTGCCATAATGAAGAAGACAAAACGATAAATATTATTATACATTCAAAGTGTATCTTTCTGCTGCTGATGAAAACGAAATATACGAAGAGATATTAATATTGGTGTCGAACTTAAAGTGCATTCAATAAAGAGGACTGACTTGCAATTTTTTATAAGAAGTAAAAGAAAAAGTGCTTCGTCTTTAATAATGATAATGAGACATAAGGCAAAAAAACCAGTATGTGGACGATTCCAAGACTTACAATGCTGTGAAAAATTAATGAATTATCATCCACCTTTGATATCTTTCGAATATTGTTCTTGATCAATATCACTGTTTCGTTTAAAACTCATCATGAATATATAGATTAATATGTGTTCTTCCAGTATGTATTGATTGAATAAATACTGAAAGAGTGTACACATGAATTTATATACTGGGAACGAATTTTAAAGAAAAAAAGTAATATTGATCAAGAGTAAAATTCGAAAGAAGTCAAAGACAGAAGTTGATTCTATAATTTCTCACAGTATTCTACTCAAGTCGAATATGCACGCTGGTAAACAAACGTTTACGAAGAAAAACGTAGATATACGGAGGCTGCGCACGATTTTCGTATTATACTGACCGGTACCATGAGAAACGGATTCCGTATACGGAGTTCGTACAAAAATACGGAGTGATTAAACGGTAAATATCTATGCTTCGTATACGAAGCTATACGACTGTTGTATACGGTTGTATATCACCGTCCGCAATCGTACCTGATCGTATACGGCTATTGTAACCCTACAGTTTATTGAACAGTACGTTTTTCAATTTATTTTATTTTATTTTAATTTATTTTAGGTCTTCGTGATGGATTCAATCAAGGAACAATAGGCATTTTTATTTATTTTAATTTTTTTCATTTATTTTAGGTCATCTTGATAAATCAAATCAAGAAACAGTAGGTATTTTTATTTATTTTAGATCATCTAATGGAATCAAATCATTGGTTGCTTGGTGACGGAAGTGCGTGCAATATACGGTAAACTGGATAATATTTTTATCGTATAGAGAGCCAAATACGATCGGTTACGACCGTGTACGACTAAAATACGGTCGTTTACAATCGTAAACGGCCCTATACGATCTCCGTATTTCGCCGTATTTCTCCATATACGATCACGGTCACATACGATCGTAATACAATCACATGTATTACGGCGAAATACGGTTGTATACGGTCGTAAGCGATTGTATACAGAGTCTGTAACCGTCGATCTGGATATACAACAACTGTTCTTTCATGCATAAGAAAAGCATTTTTTATTAGTACTTTGTATAGATACATCATTAAATGAAGAAAACAGAAATAGTTCATGTAGAAAATGACCTGATCGATGTAATAGAAAAAGACAACAGAAAATAAAAATTGATCGATTTTTTGTTAAACAAGAAAATAAATTACAATTAATTACAAAAACAAGCATCACTTTATCATTTAAAAATTAACATCAAAACGAGAAAATTTATCATTTCCTTTGCCTGAATCAATGTCTTTCTTTTCTGTTTCAGGATGTTCAGTCATTTGATTCGTTGTTTGTGTTGGTCGATATTTTTCAGTAACAGATTGTTGTTCTGATAAACGAGTACTACGTTAATTTGTTCGTTTTTGTGCTTTAATTTCTTCCGGTGATGGATAATAATATCGACCATAAGCTTGAGCAAATGGATTATCAGGACTCATATTTAATGATGTTTTACTTAACGGAGCTGATGAAATTACTTTTTGAGTGAGAGATTGTGTACGTGTCGACAATGATGGCGGTGGTGGTGGTGGTGGTGATAGTTGTCGTTGTTGACGAGGTGGACTTATTGGTGGAATATAGGATGATTTATTTGATGTTTCATTATGATTGTAAACATTTGATGGTGGCCTATGTACTTGAATAGGTCGATAAGAAAGTGGTGCTGGATTATTTCGTGTCCAATCAGCAATTGATGTTGATACTGAATTTACTCGATTTCCCAAACCATTTGTTGAATATTCACGGATTAATGATGGGCGATAAGTACTAAATGGATTATTATCAGATAAATCACTTGTTGGAATTAATGGTACCGTCGTTTTAGGTGTTTCAGTAATGCGTTTTTTTGTATCAACTTGTGATGGATAATGATAACGTTCATATGTCGAATTAAATGGATTATCATCAGATAAATTTAATGATTTATTATCCGTTGAACGGATATTTGTAGCTTGATTTGTTATTCTTTTTGATGGATCAGTTTGTGATGGATAACGATAAACACCATAGACAGCATGAAATGGGTTTTCATCAGAAAGATTTAACGTTTTATTAATACCACTACTACTTTTTGGTGGAGATACTATTGATGTTATTTTACGTGGTGAATTCAATTGTTCATATGGACGAGCTGGATCACAGAATGGATTTTCACTTGACATCATATTCGTTTTTTCAATACCACCTCCACCACTGGGACCATTACTCATACCTCGGATATGACTATTAGTTGATGGATAACGAGTTAAACTCGTTGAAGCAAGGTTACTATAACGGAGAGAAAAAAGTAATTTTTTCTTCTATTTATAAACAATATGAAAGAATGATTTACTTATTTGCTGATGATGATTGTTGTCGTCCAACATTACTTCTTTCATTTGAATAAATAGTTGATGTTGGTGGTTGATAATTTGGATAATAAGGTAACGATTGAGAAGAATCTGATCGATCGAATATCAAACTACTTTTATTATTATTTCTTATATTTGATTGAGAATCATGAGTATGATGTCGAGTTGCATGCATAGATGGTTGTTGATTTACATACGCATTTTTTAAATAATAGATATGACGTAGTTTTTTACTTACGCATTTTTTTATTTTTTATCATGTAAACAAATCAATAGAAAAACAAACGAAGGAAAAAAAGAATTTTCATATGCTCAGTAAATATAATTGCAACATCATGCACATACATAACCATACTGGTTGCTATGACTTTTCTTCTTTTCAGATAAAACTAACGCCACTTCTCTTTGTTTTTACTGTTCTGTCAATCGAACGTCTATCAATAAAATTATTACTATTGATATTCTTTCTTCTTCTTTTGATCAAATATATAAATATAGAAACGAGTATTTTATTATCAGAACAATAGATACTAAGTAACATAAAACAATAATTTGTTTAGAAAATTCATCAGCATACTAATTTTGTCGAAAAAAAAATGATCTGCATAACTATCAACATATTCATATGTGCAATTATAACAAGAAAATTTATTCAGTTCTTTGTTTTTTAATTCAATAACATAACTAAAACTTTAAGATGGTAGACTTTTAATTCTAAACAAATTTAGACTTTTTTTCGTATCTATGGCTTTCTATTTTTAATAAATTTCGTTTCATCACATGGATAATCAATTGTGATTCTTAATTATTCACAGCGAGAGTAGGATGATAGTATTTTCGATCATCAACTTTTTTAGCATTCATTTCACACTATTATTGTTTGTCAATAAAGTGTAGATGTTACTCCAGGCCGATGATAACCTCACCCTCACTCTGTAGTATCCTTCACTGTCAATCAGACTAAAAAACTAAGCATATCTTTGACCTCGATAGGAATCAAAGTGTAGTGTACACAACAAACAATATATATATGTACTATAATATTAAGCTAGGAAACAATAGTTTTGGTATTCCTTCAGACTAACTATATCGCGGCATCCACACTCTTTGATGTGCTCTGCCAGTTAGACCAATTAGTGTATCCGGTGTCATCGATCTAGGGAAGAAGCATATTTTTAAACGGATATTTAGTTTTTCTACAGATACACGTACTTCATTTACTAATTGCTTTGATCCCTAAAAATAAAGTGCTGAATATGAATAAGAAGTTGTGTGAATCGTGTAGAAGTACTCAAGAAGAAATAATGAAAAATCACTAGTTGAAAAAAAATTAGTAATCAAAAGTACTTTTGCTCTTGAAAATAGGTATTTTCAAGAAGAAAACATACTTCATGAAATTTTAGCTAGTTAAACTTTGTATAATTTAAGAACTTGATATAATAAAAATAATCTATTTTGTTTCTTGATTCGAACAATAAGACATTTATCTTACGTATGTACAGTAAATATTTTTCCTAGTATATAGTTATATTAGTCGTTATACAACTAATTATTTGTCAATAATCTACATAATGATACATAAAATGCAGAATGCTTCATATCTAAAAAAACAATTAAGATATGTCTGGACATTTCAATACTATTTTTAATTTTATTATAAAAATAAGAAAAGTGATCAAATTTCAAGATTGTATAAAAGAATAATAATTTTTGTCAAAACTGTATAATATAATTGCTAGAAGTATCACCTACTGTGTAAACATGTATACGAATATTCTTAACTATAAAGTTTTGAGTAAATCTTAGAAACATAATAAGATCTCTCTAATATTGTGTCGTGTATTGTTGTTGCTATACTATCTTTTTTAAACTGTGTAAAATTGAAATCATCAGAATTAATCCAATCTATTTTTAACAAGAATTTTAGAGGTTTCAGTTGATTTAAATTTCTAGATGATTTCCTATTTTTGCCTTTTATCAATGATACATCTAATAATGGTCCAAAAATTGAACGATGCCCAAACAATTTTGTCCTTATTAAATCAATTTTGGTATTTTCTTTTTTTTTACAGCAATTCATTCAGTTGTTATTGAGCATTGAAAAATTTTTTTAACAAACACAAAATCTTCGATTATCTATCCATTAGTCGTGTAATGAGAAACTATGATGTAAAGAATTCTTCTTCTTTCGAATAAACTATAATGAAATCTAGTACCTGTTCCGAAGATTTTCGTAGTTCTATGCTTGAAAATTGACTATGAAATTCTGCTTACCATGTACATCAGTAAATTTTGTAAGATTGAATTTGGATAGATTCTTAAAAGTTTTGACTAACTCAAAATTATCGAAAAAGAACTTTTCAATGATGAAATTATGTTAAGCTGTATTTTTGTATGAAAGAAAATTTTTGGCAGAAGAGAATTCAAAAAAATCAACACTCTTATAAAATTGAGGTAATCAAAAACTATCAAATAAATCAACTTTTTCTGTTAATATTTATATCTCAAAATTAATGAGGCCGATGTGAAGTTTCGTCGAAACTAATTGAAATGATTTTGATATACCCACACATTATAATAGTCAAATCCAATGACAGTTCGATTACTGTCAACAATTTATTTGACATGCTCGACAGCTCCTTTGTATCAACGAATATCTTCTAAATAGTGCTGTGGTTATGTTGAACTGAATGACAATCATCGATATAGATCAATAGACTCAATCAATTTGATTATATCTAACATCCAATACTTCGATATACGTACCTTGTTTATTAAGCACCGTACTAATATTAATAGATTCATAAGGAATTTCCAACTGACTGAGTTGCAATGTCTGAAGAGCATGTTTCAAATGGTCCAATACACCATTAAATTTACCTTGCCCTAGAAGAATTATAACAATGTTGGAGTAAATCAGAAAGATCTGAGAAATATCTAACGACAATTCATTTTAACTGATATCGAGAGATTGTTTTAAGTGTAACAATACACGAGAAAGATCACCTAGTATGATGTAGGTATGTTTAGTCTTCTTGAACTCACAAATCTTAGTCATCAAAGAAGCTGTTCGATCGATGTAATCGTATTGGTCCTAAAATTATCGTTCTCATATTTTATGTGAGTTGTGAATCATTATCACTTGTCAATATCAAATTCATATGGTCTAATCGTTTTTCAATCTGTTTTATTTCATCTATTGAAAATTTTTGCAAAACAGAACATCTCTTTTTTCGTCTATATAGTAACGAATGTTCTTCAACGAAATGAATCAAACCGATGAGATATGTAGATATATGTCCATTTACAAGGATGTATCTATAAAATCTGAATTCTTTCGATCGTTATCAGTGACGAGAAAACGTACATGTCAATATACACTCGTCGGTAACAAGATGCTGAATGATAAGAAGACATTCTTGGCTTTATTTCATCATTTCTCATTATCGATATACTATGAAAGGATAGTTATTCTTCAAATAAGTATGTATTTCTAGGAATGGTCGATGTCGAAGAAATAAATACATTTTTATAATAATTTCAAAATTTTGTGCTGTGAGTGTTTTGTTTAACAGTGAACATACAAAACATTGCCGAGTTTATAACTAAATATGTGATGGATGATCATATTTTTGTTTGAATTTATCAATGACAGACAAGTCACAATCCTTATTAGTATATTGTTCTCAACAATCATTAACTAGTTCTTTCTTATCATTTTCATTGTGTAATAGCTCAAATAGAATTTTTTTGAGTAGTTGTGAGTATATAAATGATTGATTAAATTCATTTATGTCAATCGACACCTTCATGTGAAAATGTTGATTTGTGTAAGTACAACCTTTGATTGTTGGACATCATTTTTTGAGTACGTTACAAATATACATAGACATTTCAATGAAAGTTTTTAAAAAATTTTTTATTTTTATTAATTCATACTTTATACTTTATTTTATTAAAACAAAATATAGAGATCGATTGTCACTGATCAATGTTTTCGATTAAAAGAACTTGTTGAGCAAGAGAATCTGGAATAATCATGAATGCTTTATCATTTCTAATATTTCGGATAAAACCTATAGATTGATTTGAAGTAATAAATGTTTGAACGAAACTAATAATATTTTATAACTGAGTGAACTTCGTGCAGTTTCCTTGAACTAATCAATGTTAAAAACTAATCAAATCACAATGAAGTCTTTAACCATTCGAGATGGTTTAAATCATTATCTGATATCTGTAACGATTGAGTTCAAATGGATACTTATAGAAGATTTGAATAATTTACTATATGTTTGTATGATATCACTTTATTGTTTTGTTTTCTTTTACTACGTGAAAACACAACTCAATGTTCATGACAAAAATCAATGAACATAATGCTACTTGTTATCTACTGTTTTAGCTTTTTACTTTGATTATAGCGTGTTTATAATTTGCCATTTATGTCAATTTTATATTGTCATTGCTATTGAAATCTTCTTTAATTTTTCTGTTTCTTATTGTATTGTCAAGTAGAACAAAAACTAAAATGTAGGCAGTTATCATCAATGTAAAATAAATTTTGAGATCCTCATGATTATTCTACTGGTTTCATTTAAATACTCTAGTTCGAAGATTAGATAATTCTGATGACATTTTACAGTGTAATGATAAATTGAATTTTATGATATTATATTTGAAAGAAAACTATCCATCATAATTACAAATGAAAGAATAAAGGTAGATTCAATAATCTATGATAGACAAATAGTGAAAGTGATTTCAAGATGATTGTTATGCGATGTTGAAAATTCTGTAGTATGATTTTTTTTTAGAAGTTCAATTCGAGAAAAGATTTCTAATCTAAATTAATTAATTAAATATCATAGGATAACTTTGTTTGTGTTTTCTCAGTGTACTAAGTCAATAAATAATAATTATAAATATAGAAATCAATTCTATATATTAGGTGTGAATTTTTCGATAAATCTTTATTGAAAATTATAGATCATAAATACTGTCTGTTTAATATAAAATACATAAAAAGAGATTTTTTTCATTAAAGGCAATGCATAGATTCGGTGAAATTTTCTATTTATCCAAGTATTTTCTTCATTTCAACAGAATCTAATCAATTATAATTCTTTGAAAACAATGAGAAGAAAAAACAAAATAATCAATATATTCTCATTTAAACTATGTAATGAATTGTATTACGATCCATTGATTATAGTTGCATCCATCGAGAAATTATTTCAATAGTATTTATTTAAACATAAAACTTAAATATTGTATATTGATGACAACTATGTAGCAAGCAAAAATTTTTATTCGATGGTACATGAGAACCAATGTATATGATGTGACGTAGAGGGCAAGGTGCGATATCACATGTACGGAAAGTATGAAATTGATACTATATAAATGCAATGCGCATACGAAGCAAAGACATACGCTATTTATAGAAGAAGAGGATGATTCTGCTTACTGCACTCGCTCTACTCGTAATATTATTCGTCCTTTTCAAACGAAGTTATAACCAATATGCATCTGGTTTAAGAGAAAAACCAAAATATTTCCTATGGCTTTTAACATGTTTTATTAATTTTAAAGGTTGGTCAAAAGAATCATATTGTCTTCGTACAGATAATATCAAATCAACGGATAATTCAGGATATTTAAATGATAAAGATATCCCAGTTCGTAATCAATCACGACCAAAAATGTTACGTGCTCTACCTCATCGTCAATTAACTCAACAAGCACCTGATGAAATTATGTATGAAATGCATAAACACATGGAATCAATATCCATACCAAGATATGGTGGACAAACAATTAATGATCAATTATTATTACGTGGTCCATCAATGGTTGAATATACTGGTGCTAATGCTTTATTTTTACCAAATCCGAATAAAAATACAATTGAAAATGGTGAATTTGCACATTTACATTCAAATGATGGTTCATTTCATATGATGTTACATCCATCCGATGCTAAATTATTAATTAATAAACAATGGGCTGAAAAATTTCCATTAGTTGGAATGAATTTATTCAATAAAATAATTATTCCAGATTCGTTTGTATTAATTTATGCTCCACAAAATGAGAGTGAATTAAACATTTGGAAGACAATTTTAAATGCTTGTATTGATTATAATCGAGATAATAAAAATAAACATTGAATAAAAGTAGTTTTATTGTAATAATTGATTTACTTTCATAAAACTAATCAAAGCTTGAACATATTTTTCAACACAAATTTTGGGATCGAATTCATTTCGTACAACATATGAAAGTTTAGTTTTGAATGACATTAATTTTTGATGAATAATGATTTGTAATAAAAACACCTTTATAAAATGTATTTTTGTTCAGTTTTAGATTATTTAAAGAAGAATATGATATACCAAGACCATTTGATTCAAGAAAAGTACCGAGTCATTTAGAATCTCGTATACATTCATTTCGATTATGTAGACATGATAGTTCAATAAGAGATTCATATGAAGTAGTTGATAACTCATCATTATTTAGTTGAACAGCAGATAGACGAGTTCATATCATTGTGTCGCTACAAGATAAAAGAAAAGAACAATTCTTTTTTTTTCTTCAAAACGAAGGATAAATTTTTAAATCTTACTTTCGTTGTCCATGTTGATGAATATCAAGTAATAAATCATTACCATGAAATTTTTCTTGAATTATTTTTACTGCTTTTTCAAAATAATTATGAAAACTGTTATATGATTTGATTGCTTGTGGATAGAGAAGATTATATTTTTTAATTAATTCACTAGTTACTTGTTCCGTAAATTGATCAAAACTAGCAAAATCTTGTTGGATTATAATTGAACAATGATTGCCATCTGAGCATGTATCATTAAAATAAAATGTACATAAATTTGAATTATTTCGTTGACAACCATCAATTGTACGATCGGGTATATCATTTGGTATAGCACTACCAGGATGCGATGATGAGAGAATAATATTTGTATTTGATAAATTATGATAAATAGATTTAAATGAATGTCAATATCCAGAAAAATAAAATTGAGAAAATATTGCATTTGATGAAATCAAACTAATGAAGAAAAACATGAGAACAAACATGGTTTGCCTATACAAATAGAAGTAATTATGATCTTTTTTTTTATCTTTTTTTATTATTAGTACTTTAATCTTTTGCTTTTTGCATACTTTATGATATATTCATAGAGTAATAAAAGTTTTATTGCTCAATAAATACATGATTAACTCATCGATAACTAAAGGTGATTCCGTGTTCAATTGTCTTGTCAGTTACTGAAGTGGTGTGGATAGACCGATTTTAATCTTGTATTCAGTATGATCATTATTGATCGATAGTCTTGTCTACACTTATAACTTTAATGCATCATATCAATATAAACAAATAGAGTACACAACATCTATATATTGCATCGAGTTATAATAGTATTGGAGAAATTTATCGAAAGCAAGGTAATTACAATAAAGCACTAGAATATTATGATAAAGCATTAGAAGCTTTGGGAACAGATTCAACAGTCAAAGCACTTGCAAAAAAAGCTGTATGTTATAACAATATTGGTATTGTCAACCAAGAATAAAATCAATACAAAGAAGCACTCGACTTTTATATAAAAGCATTTAAAATACGCAAAGATTGTTTGCCAAATGATGAAACATCTTTAGGCATGTCGTACAATAACATGGGAAATGCTTATTATTTTCTTAAACTTTATGGCGATGCGATATATCATTATCAAGAAGCTCTCAAAATCTATTAAAAAAAACTCTTCCTCCACAATATCCAAAATTTGCATCGACTTATAATAATATAGGTGCCATCTATGACGACCAAGGCAAATTCAATGATGCCTTATCGTATTATACAGATGCATACTAAATCAATAGTAGTATACATCCCTCTACACTAGACTTCTGCGTGACCACGATTTTTCAGTCACGTCGCGTCACGGTCACGAGCTGCCTGGTCACGGTCACGTTCATAGTCACGGAGATTTTTCGAAACTAGTCACGATCACGTCACGGTCACGAGCTAGCTGGTCACGGTCACGTTCATAGTCACGGAAATTTTTGGAAACTAGTCACGGTCACGTCACGGTCACGAAAATTTTGGATTACTAGCTGGATTGTTGTGCTACAAAATCAAGATTTAAATTGATTTCGTAGGTTTTCCCTGTAACAAAACAAAGAAAACCCATAAATCAATTAAAATCTTGATTTTTTTTCACAAAAATCAGACTTTTAGTATCAAAATTTTTCACTGTTAAGTCACGATCACGAGCCATTAGGTCACGGTCACGAGCCATTTGGTCACGGTCACGAGCTATTTAGTCACGGTCACGATTCCAGTCACGATAATTTTTCGAAAACTAGTCACGGTCACGGTCACGAGACGCCGTGACCGTGATCGTGACCGTGACCGTGACCATTTTGCAGAAGTCTACTCTACACATCCAAATATAATCAAAATAAAGAAAATATTCAATGTATCAAGTTAAAAATCAGAAAATAGTTTCATTTTCAATGACATATGAACATTTTGACTTATTTTATTTTTACATTTATAAATAAATTGATTTAAACATATTAGAATTTTTTTTCTTTTTATTTGACGAAAATTTTAGTTTTTGTAGATTAATTATCATTAAGACTTGAAATGATTCTCTATTTTATTTTATTTTTGTTCTTGATAAGATCTTATAGAATGATCATTTATCAGACATCAGAGATTGGTTCAAAGATTGAATAGGACTTACATCACATCTCTTCTCAATACTCAGTGATTATCTAGTAAATGAATTTTGTTTCTTTTTTTTTATCCATTGATTAGCACGAAAGAACAATTTGAGAACAGCATGCTTAGGTTTGCACAACAAACTAATGCAAAACATAGATGATGGAGCTCTCAGGCTTGGAGAGACTTAGATCTTTGATAGAATTCTACTGATCTCATTCGAAACTTATATTTGGCAAGCAAAAACTCTTTGAATAAACGTCGTCTCGCATTTTTCTGAAAGTTACATTCAGCAAAATATTAGATGGTGTATCTACACGACTGTAGTTTTTGAAACATCTTGATCCATAGGCGGCGGAGTCGTTAGTCTTGCGAAAGTTGAACTCAGTCGATGTTTTTTGACAGACAGTCTCCGACAGTATAACGAAAAACTGAATAAATGTCTTTTTTCTGTCACAAAGAAAATGAAAATTTAAATACCTTCAATGACAATCATAAATTATACAACGAGCCTATGCTTATGTTGAACAGCAGCATAAAGGGTAAGAATATTAGCAAAATTTAGTAATTCCTTTTTCCGACTAGAATCTTACAAGACATTAGAAAGTTTGGCTATATCGCAACGCTAGATAGGTTAAAAAATCTTGCTTAAAGTCTCTTCGTACATAAATCGCTAATAAACCGCTTTCTAGTTGTTGCATAGCAATCAAAAACTTTACCGAGCAAGTCTTCGCTCTTTCAGAGCTGAGTTAGTCGTATTATTTGTCGAAAAGCAACCAAGGTTTGATAGACATTTTGGTTCATTCTGTTCGGCATTCTAATGTAAAAGTTCTATTTGTCATGACATTTAAAAAAAAGTGTTAATAATAATTCTAAGTCAGTAACGGATCTAGGATTTTAGAAGGGATGAGGACAATCGAAAGAAAATTTCTAGAAGGCGGAAGAACATCCCTTCATCTTCTCTTCCTCCTAAATCTGCTACTGTCCTGAATGATTCCTAGAAAAAACTAAAGAATTATAAAAGTAAACCACTACTTCCTTTTTTCGAGCTTCCTCGAAATTGACATCGCACTGCCACCTATGCACGATGCCATGAATATTGCGGACTCTCAAGAAATTCGCCATCCAAAAATCATATGAAACTACATATTAATCGAGACAACATCTGTAAATCTAAACTCATGTGACTAGTCCTTTCTACTGTTAAAATCGAAATATCAACTAAATAAAATGAAATTCAACGGGAGCACTCGAATATGTTACATATATTTCAAGCAGCCATTCACGATTTCTGAATATAATATCTCAAACTCTACGTCCATGACCTACTTTAATCGAATACAACAATGCATTATTAATAAGAGATAGTACTTTGAAAAACAACATTAAAATCAACCTTTAAATATTTCTCGTAAGGGCTAACGAAAAAAATTATGTAATGTTCCTTGTACTACTGACATCTATTTTTGATGATTAAAATAAAAAGAAAGGAAAAAGAATATTTCTATGACAACATAGTTTACACATAAATCTTAATGTCTGTATAGAATCGACGAGAAGAACGAAATATATTTCGTACTGAACAACGTAGAAATCGAGAACAAAAAAAAAACATTTTGTAATATTGTAGATTTAAAGAGAATGCCTCAAGAGAACGGATATCGTTCAACTCCATCATCATCACATTTACGTAATAATGTCAGTCAAAATGATAATGAAACTGATAAAATTTCTACAAATCGAGAAGTTAGAGAACGTGGATATTATTCTGAATTAGCAACAATTAATCCTGATTCAAAATTTGAAGTAAAATTACGTAAATTTTTAAAATAAAATTTTTATCTAGGAAATTTAGGTTGCTAGACAAGCACCTATTGCACATGATGATGTTTTACGTCAAACATTTCGTTTATCAAATACAGCTCGAGGTACGTTTTCTTGGGTTTTTTTTAATGAATTTTAAATTAAATAATCTAGAAAAATCTTTTTTTTTTCTAATTGAAATTTTAGCAAGTGTCTTCGATTTACAAGGAATCGATGTTGCACAATTATTAGCTAATAGTAGACAAGGTGAAGTTACTACAGAATTTAAACGAAGTGATGTCTATTTGGAAAAAACTATTGAACCAAAAGTATTTATGCCATTTTATACGGCACCATATACATTACCAAGAAAAGTTGAAATTGAACGGTAGATTTAAATTAAATATATGCGGAATTTATTTATTTATTTTTGTTTATTTGAATTCTTATAGACGAAAACGTCTTTATCTTTCACTTGATTTACCAACATTACTTAAAGAACGAAATATTGATACAAATAAACTTATGCCTAAACATATACCAGCTGATAAAATTGTTACATTAAATATTCCAAATGAAGTAAATTCTTTTTAATCTATAAAATTATAATGGAATTTCAATATATATATATAGGATCCAGCACCATTTGATCCATTTTTACCATTACATTATTTTGATGATACTGATTATGAAATTTGGACACCAGAATCATGGCTTGCTTTAGGTCATGATTCAATAACTGGTTTAAATAAACCATTACCTGGTATTGCACTTTTACCTGATGTACCAGCATCTGAAATTTGTATGTAATAATCATTTTCTTGAATGTATGATATATTGTTTTTTTATTGAAATTTTAGATGATATAAAAGATAGTAATTTACATTTTAATTGGAGAAATGTTAGTATTCATGATTATGATCCTGAAAAACAATTATGGCTTGTAACAACTGATGATAGAGAACATAATGTATTTGATATGTATCGACCAGCAAAACAAAGTCGTAAACAAACAGAAGCTATTGAAGGAAAACGACAAACATCAGAAAATTCAGTTGCTAATGGTTAGTTAAAGAAAAAAGAGTTAATTAAACACTTTTTTTTTTTTTATTTCTTCATAATAACTAATATGCCATCCAAATGATTGATCAGATTGGCGTGATTTGTAGTGAAATTTTTCGCATTCAGTAGATGATTTATGTTTGTTAGGCAATATGAAAGAAAACGATATGGACAATTTTCATTGGTTAGCGACATTGTTTTACAAAATAATAATTCATATATTTCAGAACTCGGCTAATAGTTTTGACTCATTTTCATGTAACATATGTATGTTAAGTTACTCTAGATGCTCTGAAAAACTCAGTCCCATAGACCTTTGTTTGACTGAGTTATTATTAATAAACTAGCGTTACCAACGTGACATAAAATAGGGAGAAAGGTTTTCATTGTGTAAGTTTTCGTTTACTAATCCTATAAGTTCAAACAGTAGTTTTGAAAAGTAAATAGTGTGTTTTGTAGAGGAATCTTCAGGTTACAAAACTTCTAGATAAAGTTTTTCTTGAGGATATTTAAGTGTTGCAAAAAATTGAGTTCATTCGTTGTTAGCGACATGAGTAAGTATAAATAGAGAAACAAAAAATCCTCTTGTAACTGGATAAGACGTTCAAAAACTAATTGTAAATAGTACAAACCCTTCTTGAAGACCACGGAATGATAGCAAAACAAAAAGTCTCATGCTGGAACAAGCGCAGGCCTTTGGAAAATTGGTTTTAGTGAAGCAATTTTTTAGATTTCGATCTTGCCAAAAGTTTTACCATAGATTTAGTTTATGGTATAGAGTTTATTCTCAAGTTCTTGAACTTTTAGATCATAAGGTCAGAGTATTATTCGTTAATTACGTTTTAATTAAGTTTAATTAGGTGTGAACTAAGAGAGCCAATATTTTTACATATATTCATAGTAAAAGATATAGCAAGTAAAAGTCAAATCAAAGATGATCATATTCCATTTTCGCTAAGTTTACCCATATATCAAATTTCAATTTTAACTCTGATCGAACTTTTGAATACAATTGACTGAATGAAGCTTTTTCTTTTGTTTCTAACAATCTTTAATTGTTACTCTGTAGGTCCTAGTAGTCATCATTCAAGTGGTAGTCATGGTCGTTATTGGGTACCACGTATTCAATTACATTTTCTTGCTGAAGATCCACGTATATTTGCTGATCGTGTTGCTAAAGCTTATCGTGATCGAAAACGTATTGAAGCTGAACTTCGTTCGGCATTATTTATTGATTGTATGCCAATTGATGGTATTGGTAAACTTGATGATGAACGTATAAAACGAATGATTGAATTAACGAAAACAAGTGCTATATCAAAAACAGTGTATGTATTCATTCGTGTTCTAATATATATCAATTTAAAATTTTTGTATTGTGATTTTCTTTTTCTTTTTTTTTGAAGTAAAGATGAATATGTAACACCAATAGTTGAAGAAGTAAATCTTGATTATGCTCGTACAATGAATTCAATGATATTTGAAGAAGTTACTCAATCAGATCCAATATCATTTGCATTTATAACATTACCAATAAAACAACGTCGAATTATACCACGCACTGGTTGTGTTGACATACCTGAATATTCATTTAATGAAGTTTTTAATCAATTTAAAGTTTGTTAAATGAATTATTACTTATTTCAATTGATTCTTTTTTGTGTTTGTTTTAGTTTATTTCATTATTAACATCAAAACCAGCTATTGATGCATTAAAACTTGTTCGAACTGAATGTGATTATGTTATTAATAATTTAAGTTTATTACAAAAAACTATTCCAAAACATGTTAAACTTGATGAATTTGAAAGTATGCAATTTAATCAAACATCAACAGTAAGTTTATGAAATTCTTTAAAAACAAAAACTTGTCGGTACGATTCCATGAAAGGTCGAAATGTGAAACATCACAAACTCTAGCTATTATAAATTTATAGTATAGTCTGCCCGAGAGATTAATCCTCAATACATTATTTCTTTTTTCCTAATGATAAGATATACGGTACATGCCATAGAAAATGGCAAATATCATTTTATTCTTCGTTTATCGGTTCAACTACCATATTATAGCCTGCTATACACATTGATTAAATTGTTCAGTAAGCTTCGGAGAAAACCGTCCTTTCTCTCGACGAATTTTGACATATATTGTTAAATTTTGCCTAAACTTAATATTCAATTAGTTAATAAATTTCTATGTCCGTCCTATTCTGACTCTGCTACATTAACAATATCATCATCCTACTGATTGACATCTATAATAATAGAATGCTTTGGAAGATTCTAGAAAACTTCAGAATGATCGAAGCAATATTATTACTGACGCGCCTTTTCCCACTGCTAAGAAAACACGTATCGAATGATATTTAGTTTTCTTTCTTCCACTCATGATTCTTAGGGCTCAGGGAACACAATGAACAATTTCCGACAAAAAAATTGATGGGAAAAGAGTGAAATTCGTAAAAGAAGGTTTTTTGATGCAAAATGCACGAGATGTAACCCTTAACCTAGACTTTTATCTTTATTTTCCTCTTAAAATACTTCTGAAATAAAAGAACTTGGAAAACTTGTATCTTTGTTCAGCAGCAGTTATTGATCCTTATGCTAACTGAGTAGACGTGTCAGATGGAGAAAAGCATTCTGTGACAGTTTTATCGAGTTTGGAGGTGTGCATATCGACTATACTGAGCAGATCTTTTTCAGAAAATCCTTATTTGAGAAAGCATATATACTTTTTTCAATAGGGAAACTGTTAGAACAAAGTTTTTCATATGGAATAATAGAGCAAGAGCTCTACGATTTATTTCGTAGGTCTTTCTACTTGTTTTGAAAGAAAGATACTATTCTCTAAGACGACAGAAACTTAGCTATTTTTTTAGGGCTAAGAGTTTCTCGAACATATAATAAGCTAGAATAAGTTCTTTTTAAGCCAAAAGGTTGGCCATTAACCCAAGTGTATCGAACATTATTTAAATCGCCAAAAAAAAAAATCACTTTCATTGTTCCACCAAGTGTCCACATTATTATTCACTGTGGAAGAGTCGCAAAAATCTCGATTTAAACGTCTACCCGCTATTTTCTTCGAACCTATATATGATTTTTTTTTTATCTGGAAAATTTCTTTTTTATAGACACATATGTATTTAACTGATACATGGAAAAATAATCTTCGACAAGGTATTAAAACAAAATTTATTGATGTTGGACGTGGATGGTAAATATATAAAATATTTATTAAAATTTAAAATATTCTTGTTTCTTTTTTTATATCATATAGGTATAATATAAATGAATCTGATTTTCATATATATCAAGTATCAAAATTAAAGAAATTTATTGAACGTGTTAAATTTATGATGCAAGATACACTGCGATTTCTTGTACAAGATTCATGTCAAAATTATGTTCGAATGATAACCGATGCATGTTCACCTGTTTTAAATATGAAAGAAGGTTTTAAATGGCCACAAAATGATTTAATTAATAGTCCATATAAGTAAATATTAATTGAAATAAAATTTTATAAAGTTGATGATGAAAATGTCTTTCTTTTTGTTTTCTTTTTTTTTATTTCTTTTAGACCACCAAAAAATCCATTATTTCATTTGGATATAATTATTGATCAAGTTGGTCCACGTTATGTGACATCATATGAAAGTTTTTCAAATACTATTCTGGGAGCATTTGATCGTGCTATTACACAAACACAAGCTATACCACAAATTGAAAAAGTACGAAGAAGAAAAAAAAAAGAAATTAAAATTTTTTATTTTTTGTTTTTCATCTGATGAACTAATATTATTTAAGGATATAATGGAAAATATTTTTTGGGGTGGTGAAATGTTAAAATTAGAATCAGTTGCTTTACAAGAAAATAAAGTTATTGAATGGAGAGAAACTTTACAAAAAGCTGTACAAGCTTCACTTATACCATTAAAAGCTTATGCTGAAGGTAGAAAATTTTTTTGTTGATTAAATAATCTTTCATTATTTGTTTGTCTTCTTTAGCTTATGAATCTTATGTACCATTAATGAATCTTAATACTGATCATTATATAAAGTTAGTCAATAATGAAATATAAAAATTGAATGATTTATTTATTTTTATTGTTTTTAGAGATTTTGAAAAAACAGAAAAATCTATTGAAGAATATCGAAATGAAATTTTAATGCATGTACGTGAAAAAGATAAACTTGAAAAAAATATTCCTGTATCAATTGTTATTGGTCCTTATTATATATTTGCACAAAAATTACGTGAAGCTTTATCAAATAAAAGAAAATTATTAATTGAAGCTTTATTATTAAGTCAAACACGAAAAGCGAGAACAAAAACAGAAGAAGTATGAAATTTATTTATTTTGAAAATAAATTCATCTAATCAAAAATACTAATATTTTTCTCTGAAAATATTCAAGTCGACGACTCCGAAAAGAAGCAGGGCACTTGAGATATGACCTAAAAGGACTGTTGAAGTATCATAAGGTAGAAATTTGCACCTTTTCCTGACAGACACTAACCAAAGGCCTATCAAAGACCGTATATCGATACCCAGGTCCAAAAATCCGACGACGGATCCTATCGGATCCGATCGGACCCGAAAACCGACAAAAATCCGATCGGAATCCGGGTTGCAGAATTCCGATAGGATCTTACAATCGGATACTCATACGTTTCCGATAATTTCCGATTGTTGAAACCCCCCTTTATTCCGACTGTCGGATTCCGATCGGATTTCTATAGGATTCTATCAATCCTTGAATCTGTGATCGATCTTATGTATTATGATAATGTTTGGAATCTAAATTTTACCGTAGCTGTGCCGGAAGGGTCGTATGAAGTGAGCCAAAGTTGGCGTGAGCCAAAGTAGAGTCCATTCGTCCATACTATACCCACTGTAAATATAAAGTACTCTAGCACCGGAAGTATCTTTCCCACAACAGAACAATACTACTCACAACTCAGAAGTGCTATTCCCAAAACAGAACAAAAGTATTTGCTACCCGGGAGTATCATTCCCATAACAGAACAAAGGTACTCACTACCCGGGAATGCTATTACCAAAACACAACAATGATACTTACAACCCGGAAATACTATTTCCAAAACTGAACAAAAGTACTCACTATCCGGAAGTGTCATTCTCATAACAGAACAAAAGCACTTCCGGGGAGTGAGTACCTTTGTTCTGTTTTGGGAACGACACTTCCGGGTTGTGAGTATTATTGTTCTGTTTTGGGAAAACGGTTGGATGACGGTAAAGTAACGGCTCGTATTTTGATTGATCCATTTCCCCTATATGAAGTGAACCACAATTCTCTGGTAAGCATGTTTGGCTCACTTCACACGACCGCCCAAACATGACTGGGTGTAGTCCTTATAATAAGCAAAAAACGTCCTCCTCAAATCTGATTGGTCGATTTTGCTGGCCAATCAGATTGGGAGATTCTAGTTCTCACGTATAGACAAGGAGGGGCTCCATACATATACCCTGATTCGATAGAGCGTCCTCGATAACCCTAGGATTGGCCCGAACATGACTA